ATGGGGCAAAGGCTGAAGTTGTCAAGGATTTTATCTCACTTGGATCCACAATCAATGCTCGTGGAAGCAGCAGTCAAGAGATCAAAAGAGGAGCAGATGAGCTTACGAGTCATGTGATGGCTGCGTGCAGAGCCATCTGTGTCCAAGGCTGCCCCCGAAGAGACAGCAGAGTGAAACTGGGTACCCCAAGAGTGAGAACCCAGGAGTAAAGATGGATCTGCGTGAGAAGGGGGTTCATCATGGCAGATGGCCCAAAGAGATCCCGTATAAAAAATTATCAAGTGTTGAAGGACTCCATGCCATTGTGTCTGATCGAGATGGGGTGCCGACTATGAACGTAGCCACTGGCTTTGAGACCTGGCTTCTTTCTGCTTTTCCTCTCGCAACAGACTAAGGTAGCAAACTTGGGCTTTCCAAACCCGAAAGGATTATGTTTCTATAACCCCTACCAGGAGGTTCAATTTAATCGTTTGCTTTTGGTGGTGTAGTGCCAACGCAGGACTAATTGTCAGCCTAGAAAAAGAACTTCTTCCTTGATTTGAAGAATTGAGACAAGCTGTGGAAGTTTCTTAAGCAGACAGCGGTCTGGGCGTGTACCTTGTCTTCCTGATACAGGCACAATATCAACTCAGCAGTCTCTAGACTACAAGAATACTTGCATCTGTAGCCAAGAAAGGGCCCTCTTTCCTACCTGAGCCTAAATGAAAGCGCGTACAGATGCAATTTCTGAACAGATTGATTGTTTTATTTCCTTGTGCAGGATGGTGTCTTATTGTGTGAGATCTGGGAACACCACAAGGACGGCTCAGTCAGTCACAGCTCCCCTGGAGCTGAGTCCTGTCACCAAATGTCGAGGCGATTCTCGTCAGTGGGTCAGAATCAAAATGATACAACGATCCACGCGAACCATCAAGTGCTCCCTATTGTAAAATATGTCCAGGTCAGCAGCAGGATGCAGGCTCTTTTTATTGTAAACAGTGAGAAGAACCTCTTTTTCTTCCTATTATGGTTTATTTCTTTGCATTGAATGCGAGGAAAATAAAATGGCTTAGCAAAAGTAATAGTACAATCATGAACTTCCCCTGCATCCATCTTGCCATATTTCCAATAGCCGTATAGATGGCTATTGCTCATTGATGTGGTTCCTCGCAGAGGGTGCTGCTCCATCCCTAAAAGTCAAATGATAGCTACTGACCCACCTCCCAACGTTCCCCCCACATTCTGTTATCCATGTATAACCAGTGTTATAATGTCTGCGTGTTCTTTATAAAATTTAGATGTGCTTTGTTATCAAATGGTTCCATATATTGGTATGTATGTAAGCATGATGATACAGCCCTTTTTATGCATGAGTATAAATACAATAATATTTTTAAAAGTAAAAAAAGGGTGTGTATGCCAAAAGACACATTGCATTAGGTAAATTTGCTGCACAAGACCTCTTTAGAGTGTTAAAGAGCAAGGAGGTGACTTTGAGGACAAAGGTGCTCCTGACCCAAGCCAGGGTATTCTCCCTCGCCTCCTGTGCATGTGACTGTTGGGCACTGAATAAGGAAGACCAAAGAAGAATCAGTGCATTTGGATCTTGGTGCTGGGGAAGAATATTGAAGGTACAGTGGACCGCTAAAAGGACAAACCTATCTGTATTGGAAGAAGTATGGCCAGAGTACTTTTTGAGGCACGGACGCAAGACGTCGTCTTACTTACTTTGGACATGTTGTCAGGAGATTCCAGTCCCTAGAGAAGGACATTGTGCCTGGTAGAGGAGGGCCTTGATGAGATGGGTGGACACAGTGGCTGCATCAATGGGCTCAAGCACAGGAACAGTAGTGCAGATGGCGCCGCACGTGCAGTGTTCTGTTCTGCATAGGGTCAAGGCGGGTTGGAGCCGACTCAATGGCATCCAACAACAGAAACAACATATATAATGGTTTAATGTGTATACATATGCACACACGTGTGTGTGTATGTATGTATGTATGTGTGTGTATATGTATGTATGTGTGTGTGTGTATATATATATAAAACAGCAACATGGGAAAATACACACAATAGAATTCTGAATTTTACAAGCAGGTAATAAAAATTACATACATACTATTATCCTATAATATTGTTGTTAGGTGCTGTACATACACAATAACAATATATATATATATATATATGATGTTTCAACCATTAAATCAATATATATACAAATCATTCTATATAATGGTTTAATGCATTCCCACACATTTATAGATACGTACGTTAAAACACTGACATGGGAAAATGCACATGATATACTTTTGAACTTAGCAAACAGGCTACAAATATCATATACACAACACCATCCCATAATATTATCATGCCTGTTTTCAGGTGCCGGGGAGTTGGCTCCACATCACAGACTCTGTGTGCATCAGAATGAACCCCGCTTAGGTGGGCGCCATCCTGACAATTACTGTTGTGTTAGAGTCCGTTGTTTCAGCCAATGTGCCAATCCACCCTGTGGATCTTCCTCTTTTTCCGGTGACCTTCTACTTCACCAAGTGTGATGTCTTTTTCCAGGGACGGGTTTCTTATGCCCATGGTATGTGAGACAAAAATCTCACTCTCTTCACGTCTCAGGTCGACCCAATGTACTTCTTCCCAGACAGATTTGCCCTTCTGGCGGCCCACGGCACTCTTACTAGTCAGTCTTCCTTATTCAGCGTCCACCTTTCACATGCATATGAGGCCGCTGGAATTTGCACAGCTTGGGCCAGGCACACCTTAGTGCTCAAATGGACATTCTTGCCTCATTGCCTGGGAAGTTGGAGTCTGAAAGAGGGCGGGAGGGGTGGGAAGATCAGGTGTTGGTTCAAACCGATGGTAGAGTTAAGGTTTCCTGTTTTCTCTCTTTAATATTGTGATATGTAGAAATCCTTAAAGGAATCTGCAAAAGAGGGAGAAAGATGTAAGGATGAGTGGTTTCCCTGGCAGCAACACTAGCTGGGGCTTAGCGAGCAGAGGGCGCTGCAGGCAGCTAGGTGGGAAGAAGGCAGCTGCTTTGAGACACCCACAAGGCACCGTTCCACAGCCACTTAGCATGCTCCGGTGAGAGGACAGAATGACCGGAAGTGCAGTCTTTTTAAAGAAAATCATTTTATTGGGGGCTCATACAGCTCTTATCACAATCTATACATCCATCCATTGTGTCAAGCACATTTGTACATGTGTTGCCATCGTCATTTTCACAACATTTTCTTTCTACTTGAGCCCTTGGTATCAGCTTCTCATTTTCCCCCTCCCTCCCCTCCTCTCCTTCCCGCATGAACCCTTGATCATTTATAAATTATCATTTTTTCATGTCTTACACTGACTGATGTCTCCTTTCACCCAGTTTTCTGTTGTCCATCCCCCTGGGAGGGGATTATATGTAGATGCTCTGGTCTACTCAGATTTGTGAGGTAGAATTCGGTTCATGATACGGTGGGGGTGGGGGTGGGTGGGGAGGAAGCATTAAAGAACTAGAAGAAAGCTGTATGTTTCATTGGTGCTTTACTGCACCCTGACTGGCTTGTCTCCTCCACGTGACCCTTCTGTGAGGGGATGTGCAGTTGTCTACAGAAGGGTTGTGGGTCTCCGCTCCGCACCCCCTCACCCACAATGCAGAAGTGCAGTCTTATTGGCATAAGGAGCAGTGAAGAAATTTTGCTCAAGTGTGTGTTTCGTGGGTGGGGGTGGAGGGATTAAATCTTGGTGAGGTGGACTAGAGCCATGCTGAGGAGTAAGCCAAGCCCTGAGGCCAGACTGATGTTGGCACATGGGTGGCCAGGCCTGCTCGGTTCATGAAGTTTCTCCAGGAGCTTTCTGGTTTCTGAAAGCAAAGATCAGAGGAAAGAATGGTGAGACCGACCGGGAGAAGTTCTTGAATCTGGAGAGCCATCCTGGATGCTGGGGTGGGGGCAGAGGGAGCTCAGACTGACCTAGAGTCAGGTAAACTTGAGGGGGCAGGAGTTGGTAGGGGCTCGTTGTGGCTTGAAGATCTGAGAGGCAAGGAGGAGATGGCAGGAGAGGGAGCAGAGAGTTGGAGATCTTAGAGCCACAGCTCTGCTTGGATGCCATTAGTTTTAACGATGATAGCAGACAGCTGGTTGTACAAAAGGAAGAGGTTATGTGAGTGCCCGCAGAGAGATGCCTTGAGGGTGTGGGGAGGGGGAGGGGGAAGAGAAAAGAGCAGGACCATGACAGATGGTGGTTTGCTCAGATGCAGAGACAGGGAGTAAAGGGCTCAGGGCCCTGGAGATGGCACACGGGAACAAGGGGAAGGAGGCCTCCCCCATTCCACATTCCATTAGATTGAGTAGAGGAACGGATGACGTGACCATCATTGCACATCTAAATGTGTCTGACGCAAAACGCTCGATCAATATTCACCCTAACACACTTTATCGATGGGGAAACTGAAGTGTAGAGAGGTGAAGTATAGTTTGTGTGGTGCAGCAGAGACTCAAACCCAGATTCCTTAGCTCTGTAGCCCATCGTGTTCCCACTAGTCAACAATGTTGAAACCCCACAATACAGAGAGGCAGGGAGGTGCCACCCAGAGTGGCATAGAACCTGGATTGAGTGCCTAAAAGTAGTGTCTGTCCCAATCCTAGAACAGGGCCTCACCGAGGAGTGGGAACCCAGTGAGAGTGACCAGGGAGGTGTCAGGGGTGAAGAAGTGGGAGGGAAGGCCAAGTAGAGACCAGTCCTTGGCTTATCAAAGCACGCCAGTCTTGAGAGAGGTGATGATACCATATGAAACAGCACTTTCCAATTCTCCCAGTACTCTCAGATTTGGGGTTAATTCATCAGGGGCTGCTAGAGAAAGCCCTGGGGGATTTGGTTCTAGGCTTTGCTTCTTCTTCTCCTTTGGGAGACTTTCAGAGGATGAGAGGGTTCTGTAAGCTTGTCTCTGATCACAGCAGGGAGAGGCGGATGGAGAAATAAGGTACATCTGGTACTCTGACTCTGTCTCTCCTTCTCTTCAGGGAAAGGCTGTCAAAAACAGGGCCACCAAACGGTGTCTGGAGATCAAGAGGAACCCTTCAGGTACCTATGAGCCTGTACTCCAGACCTGCACCACTCAAGTGTGGAAAATTCAGCACACCATCAGGAACTGGGGGTAAAACCGACGTCCAGGTTAACGATGAAGACATCCGAAGGGAGCTTGGATTGGGGACAACAGCTGTGGCCACTTGAAGGTTTTCTACTCCCAATACTGCTCAAAGTGGGTGAAGGGGAGAGAAAGTGTGTGTGTGTGTGTGTGTGTGTGTGTGTGTGTGTACCAGGGCTTCAGCGTGGGATTCACAGGATGTGGGGAAGGGAAGTCGGTCGGCACATGTGCACTGCTGCTCAGCTGGGGATGGGGTGGAAATGATGACCTCCACTCCACAGTTTCCCTTGGGAGCTCAGGATGTGGATCCAGTGTCATTCTTGGAAAATCCTTGGAATAGTCAGCATCCTGTGGCTGTATGGGGGGGGGGGGGGGGGGGGAGTTTTTCTTTGGCTTCTGCCAAGAGTGTCTGACAACTACTATCACCATCAGTCTCACACCTCCTGCAGCTCATCTGCTGAGAAATCGCCATCATCCTTGGAGGCCTGTCATGTGAAGGGGTGGGTCATCACCAGATGGGCAGCTTGACACCTGCTCTGATGGCTCCAAGTCAACAGGAGACCTTAATGGACCTTCCCTGAAGGTGTAGAGTCACTTCCATCCCCTCCTTTCTCGACTGTCCCAAAAGATGCAGTCAACACCAATTCTGTGAGAATCCTTTCAGTTTCTTCCATTCATGCACCACACCAGTTTTATTTGGGCTACTCCATGTTGCCCACCCCTCAAGGATTCCAGAGGCTAAGGAGATTAGAGCAGGCATCTCAACCATTCCCAGCTCTCCAAGAAGTAGTGCACAGAGAATGATAGAATGATCCAGGTCTGCTCCAATGTTTCCTTAGGTAGATCATAACATTGAGTAGGCTTGATGGATTACCTGATTCCTCTTCCTACCATGAAGGCAGAAGGAAATAAGGCTAAAAATAGAGTTGACATCATTAAACTGGACCCAGAAAACGTAAACCTAGAGGGCATTCCTGCTGGCCCCTGGGTAAATCCTTCCTCCTAGTTGGTGCATGGGAAGATGGGTGTTGGACTACCAGTTGGACAAGGTCTTAGAGGTTGGTGGCAATGGGTAGTGTGATGGGAGAAGGGTGGACTGACCTATGTGTTGTGGGCTTAGTTTTCAAGTGTGGCCCTGAGGGCCCATATCATAGAGGAATATTTCCCTCCATGCCAGAGCTACCTGCGTATCATTCTGATTCTGGGGATCACCTGGCTTCCTATGCAGTAGGCAGGTAAGACACTGATGAATTAACAAAGAATTAAAATAGTTCGTATTCGGAAGATCAGCTCTTTAAAGCAGTATAAACCCTAAGTGATAGCTTGATTAAAATTCCACAAAGCGAACACATTCGCATCAAGCACTAAAACATTACCATCGACAAGATTTTAATTATGGAAAAGTAAGGAAGTATAAATGTTAAGCAAATGTGTGACTTTTGGCTTCTGCCTAGAAAATTGAAAGGAGATAGTTCGCAGAAGAAGGAAAAATTAACACAGGTATGTCAGAGGAACAGTAACAACCACAAGGACTTCTTAGCATCATCAACCCCTGGAGATCAAAAGGGTGGCATTTGCCCAAGGACAGATTCAGCCATGTTGGGAAGGAGGAATGGCCTCGGGAACACACAGAGACAGTGAGATCAATGATGTTGCACTGGAGGGATTGCAGTAACTGTGATGAAACAAATGTGCGTAGAATTGTTGAATGTGAAATGAACCATCTGCTTTGTACACATCCACAGAGCTCTCAATAAAAAAACTTTGCTTGTTTTCTAAACTTTTATTTAGAGCACATAGCCAGTAGCAGGTGGTGCACATGTAAGCCTGTGTCTGTGAGTGCCCTTAAGTGTGTGCACGTGCTCACATGCGCGCGCGCGCGCACACACACACACACACACACACACACACAGGAGAACTTCCAAAAGTTTATGGTTAAAAAAAATCCATTATCTTTTTTTTCTTAGAATGACGTACCTTCATTTAACCGATTACAAGGAACTATATGTGACCACCTCCCTGGGGGACAGACAACAGAAAAGTGGGTGAAGGGAGATGTCAGACAGGGCGAGATATGACAAAATAGTGATTTATAAATTATCAAGGGCTCATGAGGGAGGGGGGAGCTCATGAAGACCTAATGCCGGGGGCTTAAGTGGAGAGGAAATGTTTTGAGAATGATGAGGGCAATGAATGTACAAATGAGCTTTACACAATTGATGTATGTATGGATTGTGATAAGAGTTGTATGAGTCCCTAATAAATGATTTTAAAAAAATACAAACAGTTCTATTGACATATAATCCACACACCATACAATTCAATAGTTTACATATATTAAAGAGAGTTGTGCAATCATCCTCACAATCAATTTCAGAACATTTTCTTCATTCTTGAACCCATAATCCCAAGGAACTACTAGTCTAGTTACTGTCTATAGACTTACCTATCAGGGATGTCCTATCAAGAAAAATCACGCCAAAATCCAACAACAAAATATCATACAGAAAACCTCAATCTAAGAGAACGTACAAGCTCATAAAAACTACAACAAATAAAAAATGGGACCAAAGAGAATAAAAGATAATATGTTAAATTGTAACCTAATTATAGATGCAGCAATCCACATCCCAATGCACTCCCTCTGATAGTAAGGCTGACTCACCTCCACGGTCAATGGTCCAAAGGACTTCAATGGAGGCGCAATCCATAAGAGGACGCTGCAGATGGATTTTGGGCTTTCACAGTCATCCATAGCTTTCTGCAAACCAGGTGCTCAGAATTTAAGCTCTGATGCCATTCCCTTATCTGATCTTGGATGTTATTAACAATCCTTGATCACGTGCTGACCCGGTGTGCTCTTTCTGTGTGGGTTTAGGTGACACCTCACTTAAATGGCAGTTCAAATCTATCTTGCAGCGCCAAAGTAGAAAGACCTGGTGATCTTGGTATAAAGCATGCAGCAAATAGTGCTCTAGTGAATAAATCTTACTGAAAGTTTAATAATAATAGTAATAATAAGAAATTTTTGCCTTTTCCCCCCTCCCCCCAACCTTCAATGTTTGTGCAAACAGTGTCCAGTCACTTAATCCTTTAATCTGTACAAATCAGCAATCTGCAAGGGGAATCCAGCCCCTAACACATCATCACTGGTCCAGTAGGTGCAACTGTACTGCGATAATGAGTAAAGATGATAGTAAAGTCATAGAGAGCATGAGCGATAAAAGAGAGATTGAAATAATGGAGTCAGACACAATTCATGGTAGCATGCTCACCTCAGCCTCACTTAGTGGTCCATGTGGAGAGAGATATTTAATGCTAACCAAGGCTTTTATATTCTCTGGGGACATGCAAACCCCCTAATTACAGGTGAAGACATACGTCACAGGAAAGGGTTGTGCTATAGGTAATACAGTAATGGGAGGGGCTGGTCTAGGGGTATCCACGCAATAGGAAGAGGAGAGATTGGGGGTACACATGTGGCAAGATGGACGGATCCTAGGTTCAGGATGGCAGCCTAACTTTGGACATCACTGAGTCGGTTTGACCTGTTCCCTGGATCTCCATAGAAACCATTATCAGTAGGGTGTGAATTCCACCTACAGGAACCAAGCTAATGGTCACAAGCCTTTAGGGAGAAGTAGCCCATTGTCCTTAGCAGCAGGGAGCAGGCCTACCCCTGGTGGAACTAGACAGTAGTCTGGCAGCTGACTGCCTTCAGGGAAGCACCTTGACAATAGTTAGCTGCAAAGCAGTGTCCTATTTGGGGGGGATGGCTTGGGAGAAATCTTTCTGTTTCCCTCAGCAAACCATGTATTTTAGTCTGAAAATCTGTCTTATAACATGTATACTTTCCTTTTCTCAATAGTATTTAAAATTCTATACCATTGCCTAGATACTATTAATCAATTATTTATCATTTCCCCCAATAAAATGATAATGAGGACCAGGAACATATATAAAATGTCAATCCATGCGTGGATTTTGAGCTTGCACTGAATCCTAGCCCTAATCTGAGCACAGTTAGTTCTTATGATGTGGCCCTGCCTTGATATTTGCCCTTAGGAAGCGATCACTGAAGATATTGGTGTGCTAGTAAAATGTGGTGAAGCAATCACGTGGTGTCTGGCTTTCAGAAATAATAGCATTGGGAATCTTAAAGACTTGTCTTAAAGCAAGCAGCTGTTTGAGTGAGGTGTCAGCTAAGTCCACACAGATGGCGCACAGCACCCTGTGTGATTTGAGAACCATAAATAATAAAATCCAAGAACAGTGGAAGTGTCAGTATTGGAGCTTAAATTTTAAGCACACAATTTGTGGAAGGTTATAGTTGCCAGTAAGGAGCCCTGGTGGTGTAACGGTTACTCGTTGGGCTGCTGACCACAAGGCTAGCAGTTCTAAACCACAGTAGTTCCATGGGAGAAAGATGAGGCTTTCTATTCCGGTAGAGTTACCGTCTTGGAAACTCACAGGGGAATTTCTGCCTTGTCCTATAAGGCCCTTCTGAGCTGGAATGGACTTTGTATGAGTGAGTTGTATTTAAAAAAAATTTTTTTTTTAAATTTAAACTGGCAGTGAAAGCTCAAAATCCATTTGCAGGGTCTCCATGTGGATTAAGCCTCTGGTGAACCACCAGTGACCATTGACCAGGGGTGTGAATAGCCTTGCTATGAGAGAGGGCATTGCAAAATTGATTCCTGCAAGTACAGTTAGGGGAAAATGTAGCACCTTATCATTTGCTCTCCCTTGTGACTCCCTTTAATTTGTTCTGGTTGTTGGCATTTTCTGCTGACTGTCAGGTTGGAAGTCTTCTGTGTTTTGTTTTGTTGGTAGTGGTGTGTTTTTTGGTGGGGGGTGGGTAGAGGGGTATGATTTTCTTTATACAAATTCCAGGGTAGGTCATTTTATAGAGACAGTAACTGGATTAATAAGTTCTTATGATAATTGCAGGGGACTCATGGTGACCCCATAGAAAGCAAACTCACAGCCATGGGGTCGATTCTGAGCCATCGC